GTTTTGAAGTAATTCAGTAAATGTTTATAAATGTATAATAAAATACTGAATGTACTGAATGCACTGATTTGGCAAGTTACCTACTGAATTTTCAAATCATATAACATTTATACATCAAGAGCAAAATGACAGTGCTAGTAATAGCATTATTGATAACATTTTATAATTCTTGGAATTGCTGTATTTCCTCATACTTTATTGAGCTATAAGCCTACTACCCTCAATAATTAAAAGTGCTTTGCTCTGGTGCTTGAAATGTCAGCTATGGCTACGCNCCCCCCCCCCAGGTTTGGAAACTCGTCACCTTTTATAGGTAAAACGGAACTCCAATTTTAGGAAGGAGTTTCATGACGACTCCATATTAAAACTGAAATAGAATTCCTCCTCCAAATAAATTTACGTCCTCTCCCAATAGTCTAATAATCCCCTCAAGAAATTAAACATCCTCTTAGTCGAATGCGGATTGCGTTGTACCTGGAAACTACAGATTAATTACATAGAGGAAAACAAGTTTCAAGGCTGCCGCTGTAATTTGTGCGGGCTCATGACGGCATGTGCATCTTGGAAAGAGAGAATATTGTAACAGATTGTAAACGAAACCGCGTCTTTTTTCTATTTACTTACATTTACATGCAAAGTTGGAGAACAAAAGGTGCATCCAGACGCTGCTGATGACTCTGAGTTTTGGTTTACAAGATGGCAAAGCACTTAAGTTCGTTTTTGCCGTGGGCGACTCGCTGATTATGGGAAGATTCCACTAAACATCTGCCGTTTGCTATTTAAACAGCAGGTTCTTTAAAATGCAGCCCGTAGTCATGGTTTTGTTTGGAATGGTATTAGAATTACGCAGTCAAAACTGGAAAATTAGCTTCGACTGACAGCGGTTAAATAAGGTACAAAACAAACACGGTCAAAGCGACGAAAAAGCAACCATTTAATTTAAATTTTCCTTGTGTTATATTGCACTGTCAGCGGTGGCGGTTCTTGTTTATCACGTAAATTTGTACAGTCAGAAAGGAGACATTTCTTGATGCAACAGTGGGAAATAGAGTACTCGCATCAGAGTGAAAAACCTGCTCTTCACATGTGATGGTGAACGGAACAGTGTCTTCCAATGCGAATGCAAGCAATATTTCGAACACAGATCAAGTTAATACCTCTGATTTTTCGGGATTTTCTTCGGGATGCGTCGTGTCACTGGGTTTTCTGTTTATTTTAATGTTTCTTCTCAGTGTTCTGGGGAATTCGGTCGTTTGCTACATCGTTTATCAGAAACCGGCTATGCGATCCGCCATCAACATTTTACTGGCAACGTTGGCTATGGCGGACATGCTCACGGCAACTTTGTGTATGCCGTTTGCTATCATCTCCCTCATCGCGCAGAGGTGGCTTTTTGGCGATGTGTTTTGCCAAATAAATGCCATTTTGTTTAGCTTCTTGGTGACAGAAGGCACGTTCGTGTTGCTGACGATCTCAGTGGACCGATTTATGATAATCGTTCAGCGGAAAGACACTTTAACTCCGCGGAAGGCAAAAATATACATCGTAATTTCATGGCTCTCGTCTTTTGTAGTGGTTTTACCGCCACTATTTGGTTGGGGTAAATATGGCTTTGAGCTTGGTCAAATTCAGTGCTCCCTGCAATGGCCTAGTGAAGACGCAGTTGATTTATCGTATGGGCTGTTTTTCTTTACTTCAACTTTCTCAGTTCCGCTTCTTCTAATGGGATATTGCTTCGGTTCTATTCTGAGAACGGTGCGAAGAAATTCGACACGCATTCAGAATCACCCGCCTGTACCCGGAGGTGTTATGACAAAAATGCATAGACCAGGCAAAATGAACATCGACTACAGTTTTAAAACAAGAGCCTTTACCACCATATTAATCCTATTTATTTTATTCGTGATCTGTGGCACGCCGTACACAGTGATCCGGTTTCACCTTCTCGTCAAAGGATATGCAGATTCGCTGTCCTACACCGCGGATGTTGTGGTCATATTAATAGCCTACTTAAACTCTACTTTAAAGCCCATCATTTATTATATTCGGATCAGCAAATTCCGAGAGGCCTGCCTGGACATTATGCCCTCATGGTGTCATGTCCCACATTGTTTGCCGGGAAGGACAATGCGACGAATAAGGCCACATGTAGTATATGAAGTGGATAAAAAAATTGTAACCTCAGCACTCTAAAGGAAACTTCTACATAAAGACACTGATTATACATATCATTATAGAAGTGCCTGTGAGCTGTTAGCCCAAAGGTCTAATATAACTGTGGTTGCCACACACGGGGCAACAATCCAGGAATATTTTTGTTGACACTCAAAGACCTTCAGCAAGAGAATTCATATTTAAGAAGAATAATTAAACTTATATCAGTTGTGAACTTTAAACTGTTATGGAATGATTTTGCACTCATGGTGTAAATGTTTGTTTTATCACGACGCTGTACATGACATTTTTTGAATAATTAATCACTTTATGGCTAGCTCATATTTCCAAGATTACTAAATTATGGCAGATTTCTGATGCTAAACAATACTAAACTTGTTCCTATATTGGTGGAGCAGTTTTCACTTAAGTGGCAATAAGTAATAATTATTGGTTTTGCATGACTTCACTACATGATTAGATTAACAAAATCACACCACCTTTTCATCCAGTCAGAAGTAAAACCAAAACCAAACATAACTTGCTCACATGTTTTCCCATCCTTTGCATCAGTTACATGTAGGAGTATTTACTGTCAAGTTTTGATTGGTTCACTGGATTGTCTGTGTCCGTTGTGACTGGCTAGAGTGGTTACATTAGTTTTACAAAACTTAATTGAAAACTGCTCTTGACTAAGGAATACTATTTTTATGTTAAAATTTAATGCTATTGGTCATACAAAAGACATAGGTGTAAGTAAGTAAAGTACAGATGTCCTGAGTATCATATCACTGAAGCCAACTGATGTATCTCTCAAATGAAATTGTGCACAATTTAAGGAATCATTTTTAAAACAAATTTTTGCACCCAGAAAATTTTTAAGGTTTGGTGGAATTACAGCATTGAATTGTCCTCAAAATAAATGTTCTTGAAAGGATATTAAATTAAAAAATATATATATTTATGGTAACAGTAAAACCTCCTGCATGCGAACACCGATGATGCCAGAACAAGCATCTGCATAGAGGTGAGTACTGATGAGTTGTTAGTGTGTAGTTGGGACAGCGTTGGCTTAGGTGTGGTGTCTAGCGACAGGAGGTTTGACTGTAATAATTTTATTATTGTGAATTATATAATTAATAGAATTAAAAAGTATTAAAATCAGGGAAGGTATTCCAAAAACTGTTGTGCTTCTTGACTTGATGTTTTATAGCTTAAGCTTAAAGAAACACGTCAGGCGTATAATCTTTTCAATGGTATGTGCCAGATCTCCAACTAGTACTTCATGTGGTGTAAAAGAACAAGTAGCTTAACTGTCGATTTTTGCTATTGAAGGTAATGTTCATGTAGAGAATGTGTAAGACTTTGCAAAAAGCTGCATCTTAGGGCAGATTTTTGATACCATGATTGTAGCATCAACTGATAATAAGTCGTTACAGTGTTAGAAACTAAATTTTGACAGCACTTGCCATTTGTCAAGTAACTCTCAAAGTGTAATTTGCATTGTTCCTTGGAAACACAAGTCCAACCAATTTTGTGACCAAAACCCCTTCCATTAAGAAGCACTCAGCTTGTGAAAATAAATCTACTCATGAGGGACATGCAATGGGTGATCTGGCATGATTTCTGGATGGGCAAAAATAGTGAAATTAACTATTTCGGCAGAAACTCAATTTAACTTTTTTTAACAATCACCACTCAAGGTTAGTTCAACTCAGTGTGGGTCGTTGGAAAAGAGACAGATTTCAATTGATTCCACTAAAGTTGGAAAATAAGCGTCTTAAAAAGTGATAAAATTTTGGAAAGTTTACATTTTATTTAATTATTTATATGCAGAATAGGAGTGAAATTGTACATCCTTGAGTCTGTTATGTCTCCCACTCCTAGATTATTGTAGGGTTCTTAAAACATAAAAAGTCTTGCAGAGCTGACTTGGGATTAATTTTTTATAAAGCCATTTAAAACAGTTTTAGAATCACCGATTTTAAGAAGAGTACTTTTGAGAGAAGGGGTCAAGAGTGATTAACCACCATAAGACAACATCAGAGTTAATCTTACTTCAGCACTGCAATTTATTTGTGAAATCCTCAATTTAACACTCTGCTACAAATAAACAAAATATGCAAGTGTTAAAACCATAAAGCCCAATGTATTTATTTACCATTCTTGTGCCTCATTTGAACATTTATCTGTTACAGACTGAAATGTGTGATTTAATGGATATTTTTCTGTGGTAATAAATCTCTTTTAGGCCATTTGAATTCAATAATTGACTCATTGCCATATACAGTAATGTTGACATATAAAAATAAATGTTATTAATAATTTCTACTTAACTACAAAGACCAGTTACTTCAATCTGAATATAATTCAGCTGAGTGAATGTTGAGACATTTTAAAAGGGCAGTAAAATGTGTTTTAAAATATTCAGTTAATTACAACCAGGATGTGAAAAATAATGCCAAGCACAATGGATGAACAGGTGCAAGATGGTACCCAGCATTAAATGTTTGTTCAGTTGACATTTTAATTGAAAAGTCTTGTCCTGGCAGATTCTCTTCACTTCTGCATAGCTAAATAAATTTCTGTTTACTTCAGACATTTTTCAAATACAGTGTATGCCATATTCTTTTACCAAAGATACACAATTTTCCATTTGCACTAGTTAAACCATTTACCTTTCTTTGGTAAGTACTAATGACCTTTATTTTGCATACATATGTAAATTTTGTCACTGTAAGAATAAACAACAGACATACGTTTTTCTGAAAGCAAAGTATATGGCTTCAATTCTTCATCCCTGGGGACTATCTTGCTCAGCAAAGCTCTCTTTCTCAACAGAGTCAGAAACCAGCAAGATCATCATTAACTGCAGTTTATAATCATAATTTATCAAGGCCTTCAGTTTGGCAAGAAAGTATTGTACAGAATCCTTAAAAAAACATTTTCAAGGTAAAGGTACAATAAGTTCACATTTATTTTTATCACAGAAAGATAAATAATGCTACCATGTAGGATGCATATACTGTCGTACCACGCAAATTCTAACTACTCTGACACATGCAGAGATAGAGTATTCCTTCTCAGACAAACAGATCCAAAACTGGAAAAACAGCTGTCAGGTTTAGGGAAGCCGAAGGGATTAAAAGTTTGATTTAATGTAAATTTACATAATGTCTCACACTAGCAATCTGCAATATATGTCTATTTTCACATAGTATTTAGAATGCCGTAGTGAAGATATTAAATATTATATAAAGATACAAATCACAAGTGGAATATATAAATTATATATCTTTTATATACAATGAACTAAAATATGTATTCCAGAGGGTAAGTAGAGATCCCATTAATTAGTGCTAAAATGAAAAAAAATTACCTCTCAGCCTCAGGTGAAAGGAATAATGTTTTATTGATAGCACAGACATCTGAGCACGCCAATAACATAGATATCTCAGTCTCTAATTAGGTTTTAAACTGGCACAATTTTGTATTAAAAATAGAACAAAATGGAATTTGATGTGTGATGCTGCAAGGTACATTTGGATTCCCTTGCCCCTTCTGTACACTGACATTTGCTGATGTCATTGCTTCTTTCAATCAAAAACTGATTAGTATACAGTGTGGCAAAGTGGATGGCAGGTGTGCACTGAAATAAGAAAATGTAAGCTTTTACTGAGTCTCAACTAAAGAGTGCATATCAATGTTAGTTCTCAGTGTGTTGATTATGAAAAAAAATAGGAAAGCAAAGAAAGAATAGTTTAAAGTGGTACTATGACCAAATCTTTACCCCTTGATGTTTTAGGTGTATCACATAGAACTCCATGAAAGAACAAAAACGCTGTTTACTGTTTGCAAATATCTGCATCAGTTCCAGAGATATGTAAGTTTGAAAAATGTCTAAAATATGCAAATGAGATGACTGATGACATCATACACTCAACCCAATATTCAACCTCGTTCCCAAGGTCTCTCATCTTACCACCCCTCCCTTTGCTCGCTCCAGGGGGCAGTAAGATGAGAGACCCTGGGAACGAGGTTGCCCAATATTATATTAAGTATATGAATAGAGCTATCTTGGCCAATTTGCAACACAGACCATTGAAACTTGGCAGGCTAATAGTTCTACAGGAAACACACCTATGGCTATTAAAAATTGTTCCCATGGCAACTCACTCTTTTCCAGTCCCCACCCACTTGATTTCAATGTTAGTGATTTTCAGCTTGAAAAACGTTAAACTAGGCCACGAACTCAACAAAACGTATTTATACACTTGCTGGGACATGTATATGAGGCACCATTAGCAAAATATCAAAATGGAATGCCAAAGGTGGCCAGAAAAGCCTTTAATATTGGGGAGGTCTGGAACCCAGTATGTTGCCAAGGTAATAAAACTGTTAAGCTTGTATT